CCTCTTTCCCGTGCCTCGGAAAATCACCGAAATGCGCATGGTCTTCTCACCCGGACCAAAGATGACTTGCATCGTGCACTGCCTTTTCTCTAGGCCAGGTAAGGGCTGCGAGATTGCTACCCGAAACGCACCTCCGTTGTCCCACGTGTCGAGCAGCCTGTTCACGAATGCCAAAGACACTTGATCCACATTCCAACGCTCCAGAGCTGGAATTGACCGTATTTGGGAACCCTGGACTCTCTCTCCGCGACCGTCGTGACTGCTGACACGTCGGACTCATCCGGCGCCTGTACTGCACCGGCTCTTGCAGGAGCTTGCGAAACAGCCGGTGGAAGCGCTGGATCTTTGGAAGCCGCTCTTCGACAGACTTGTTCTTGAGGTTGGTCCGGCGTCTTTTGGACAGGTTATGCCTCTTGGCCCATTTTCGCCCCCACTTGAGGGATGCGCGGAAGGACGCCGCTCGTTGATCCCCAAGGTACATCTCTCGCACGAGCTTCCGGAACGTGATCGTCAGCCACAGGGTCGACACCTTCAGCTTGCTCTTCCGCCGCTCCACGAACCTCTTGTACAGTCGCTTCTCTGCCTCAGGCTGCTGTTTGGCGAGGAGGCTCCTCTTTACGTCATCGGCTGTCGCCGCGACCAATTCCTCATCGTTCTTGGCCCACTTCACTATATTGCTGTAGGGAATCTTGAGACGATCCTCCAAGAACTGAAGAGGCGTGCGCTGCTCCTCCTTCCAGAGGTCTTCGGCGTTGTCTTGGAGGATGGCAGCTGGTTGATCGCGTGGGCTTTGAACCTGAAGTCGTATCGCCTGCGCTTGGGAGCCCCACAAGTGTCCTTGGGTTTGCGGTCCATAAAGCCGTCGCTATCCAAGTCGAGATCGAGAAAGCGCTTCCGCTGGAGGACAAACGAAGCCGTNGCTGCGCTTGGGAGCCCCACGAGTGATCTTGGGTTGCGGTCCATAAAGCCGTCGCTATCCAAGTCGAGATCGAGAAAGCGCTTCCGCTGGAGGACAAACGAAGCCGTCTCCGTCGCATGATCGAACTTTACGTGCAAATAACGCCCAGGCCCGGCTGCTTCCCACAGCAGGACATTCCCTCCGACATCCTTCCGTAGCATGCGCCGCAGCCGCACGCCGTTGGACATGTTTGCACTGCTGTATTGCGTTTTCACGTGGATTCCAAGGCCTTGCTCGTTCACGAAGGTCATGGGACAGTGANACTTTACGTGCAAATAACGCCCAGGCCCGGCTGCTTCCCACAGCAGGACATTCCCTCCGACATCCTTCCGTAGCATGCGCCGCAGCCGCACGCCGTTGGACATGTTTGCACTGCTGTATTGCGTTTTCACGTGGATTCCAAGGCCTTGCTCGTTCACGAAGGTCATGGGACAGTGAGGGCAAGATCGGCGGGNCGGGATCGGAGGTGGGAAGCTTATACCGGATATGAGCTCGTTCATCCACCGCGAGTCCGCTCAATCTGCATGGCAAGGTGGAAGCAGGGCGGAGTTGCCGGGGGGGTGATTCAACGAGTAACGTCATGTATCGTTCGCTATGGAGTGTGGCGCTTTCGACCTCAAACCTCCGTGGAGAGCAGCTGTCTGTTTCCTTGTTGCCTGCATTCATCTGAATCAGTGAACTGCCGCGACCTGGATGTCCGTTCTCTCTCGCCTTTGCTTCAATTTTTTTTGTTTTTGTTGATCTTTGGTTCTCTCAACAAGCTCCCTCCGAAGTTTCGTCGGTGTTGTCTGCCTCTGGAAACTTGGAAAAATAGTTCCCCAAGTTTCGTCGGTGATGTTTGCCTCGGGACACTTAGACACCGAGTTCTCCGCGTTTTCCTGGTTCACCTGTTTGCCAACTAATGTTGGCTTAATTTTTTTTTGTTTTAGTTCCATCGTGCCGCAGAAGTGTCGCATACGCTTGGTGCTTCGTGAATACATCCCGTGGCGTCGCCTTCTCCCATGGATTTTCGTCGTCACCCACACTTCGTTCTGCTTCGTCTCCATCATCGCCACCTTCGGGCGACGCCTTCATCACAGTAGCGCCCCTGAGTCATCGTCTTGTTGTGTGAATCTCTACGACTTTCTGTATTTTATGTCTGTGACTGGTGCGTATCGCCAGCGAACCATGGCGCAGTTTGTCGACCGCCTCTCTTGCATTAATCGCTTGTGCTTTGCATCCTTGGTCCTCAATAGGTCTTGCCCTCTCCTTATACGGGTTGGGTACCCTGGCACGCTGGCCGTCGTTCTCCGTGCCTTTGCCTGTCGTTCTTTTCTCCTGCCCTTCGTTAACGTCCTAGATTGCGTTGAGTTTTCCCTTTGCGTCGCGCCCAGTTTCGAAGGCCTTATTCGTTCGGAATTTTTTTGGGGTTTTGAGTTTCGTCACCGTGTTTTGGACTCGCTCGGGTAGTCACCCTCATTCCTCCAGCGGTGATACGCGCGGGTGCGCATATAAGAGTGGTGTGTGGCGTCTGGATATTGATTTTTTTTCCTGTCGTCGTCTGTTCAGGATGATAGCGTGCTGTGCCGCAATTCATATTCTTCGTAGCTTTATCCCTTCAAGCGTTGTCATTGAGATGTCGATGTTCCGTCTCGTGACCGTTCGCATTCTTCATCTCAATGATGGTGTGGGGGATTGATTCGGGATATTTCTACAACTCACCCTCCTTTTGGATGTTTTGTGAAGAGTCATATCTTCGATTCATGATCATAAATCATCAGCTAAAATCTTAATTATGCTTTAGACTAGGATTTGAGCATTGATTTGAGTATAGAATCTGCATATATGATATTCAGGGTGGGCTGGTGTTAAGGAGTGAGTGTGGCTGCTAGCATGAATAGGGTACATCTTATTCTTGATAGGATGCGGGTCGGTCAGGAGGTATACCCTTCTGACCCCTACCCCCTTAGAATTGTCTACTCTGTGTACCCCCTGAGATGAAGTTGGATCCCCACTTCATCCCANGGTGGCCTGGTGTTAAGGAGTGAGTGTGGCTGCTAGCATGAATAGGGTACATCTTATTCTTGATAGGATGCGGGTCGGTCAGGAGGTATACCCTTCTGACCCTTACCCCCTTAGAATTGCCTACTCTGTGTACCCCCTGAGATGAAGCTGGATTCCCGCCTCATCCCAGACCTTTGCTGATCGTCTCTCAGCAATAACAAGCAACTTTCCCATCTCAACGTGGTCGTGGACACGCGTGTCAACGAGAGAACCTTCATCTATCTCTAGGAGCAAGCCACCGCCCACGGCATCACTCCNTACCCCCTTAGAATTGCCTACTCTGTGTACCCCCTGAGATGAAGCTGGATTCCCGCCTCATCCCAGACCTTTGCTGATCGTCTCTCAGCAATAACAAGCAACTTTCCCATCTCAACGTGGTCGTGGACACGCGTGTCAACGAGAGAACCTTCATCTATCTCTAGGAGCAAGCCACCGCCCACGGCATCACTCCTTGAAATCTTCATGATCTTTCAGTAACTCCAAAACACAAGAAAATAATCCAAAACACAACTCAAATCTGCAACATTAGCCTTCTGCGCTTGAAATATTTTTCCATCCCCGATCATTCCAGTTGTAGTTCTTCGATAATCATAGCGATCCAATTGCCCCCCATCCTAGAGCACCATTCATTGAGAAGACCATCGGCAAAAATGAAAAACAATGCTCCTCCCCTAGTTGTTTGATCACACACAAATAAATCCAAATCTACCGTTCCTGTCCCAGACTCAACACGAAATAACGTTGAAACTCAAACTCTCCGACGTGAAGTGCCTTCGTGAGGAAGTCGGCATGTTGAATCGCTGATTCCACGTGAAAAATCGAAATCTCTTTCCTGCCTGCCAGTTCCCTGATAATGTGGTGCCTTACGTCGATGTGCTTCGAGTTACTGTTGCTAATCGGGACCTGCGCCAACTGAATAGCCGCCTGGTTATCCTCGAACACCGGAATACACGGCATACCTGCTTCTGGCAACATGAAACGCCATGCCTGCCTCAGAAACAACACTTCCTTCTGATCGGTAATTCGGGTGGCTCGGTTCTTTGTGCTTGGAGCTCAAAGCGGGTGGCTCATGGCGGAGCGTGGATGGGTAGAAACGTGTGGAAAACGTATCGAAAAGGATTGTAAAA